TCAGGGCACGTGGAAGGCCGGGGACAGTGCCATGGAGTCAGGTCTCGCCTTCCATCTCTGTGTGCACGCCAGGGCTGGAACTCAAGATGGCCGGGCTTTCTCTGCTGCTGCTTTTGCAGCTGAGCCTCTCACCTGCCTCTTTTCCTATCAAAAGTTCCAGTGAGACTTTGCAAAAACTAGAACTGTTTCCTGGGTTTTCCAGTTAGGAATAACACTGAACAAGTTCACAGACAGCCTCTGCCTGCTGCTCAAATCATGTGCCATTTCAACATGGTGGTCTAGGGCTGAGTTGCTTGGTTGGTCAATTGGTTGGTTAGCTTGGGAGAGTCACATAATTGTATTTATGCTACTCTTTCTCCATAAACACAAGCTCGTGTCTGGAGTAACTTTCCTGAAAATGGCCTGGACGGTAAATCACACAGAATGTGCAGGCCATGCTGTCTCAACACCTCACTTTCCCACCATATTCCAAAAGCAGTAGCGAAAGCAACAGGCAGACACGGTTGTGTGCTGGTGGCTAGAATAAAGAGGCTGGACCCTTCGTCTGGGGAATCGGGCGTCCTTTTATCCCAGGGCTGTGGGCACCATTGACATTTTACATCACATGACTCCTTGCCTGGGGGAGAAGGGCTCGCCTTTAAAATAAGACATTTAGCAGCATCCTCCCAACCCTGATATAGCCGTCAAGTTTGTCTCCAGACATTGACAATGTTTCCTGGGAGGGCACAGCCTCTCCTAGCTGAGCCCCACTTTCATTCTAAAGAAAACAGTATGAAATTATGATAATTATGGTGGCCAAGAGGGGTCTACAGCAAAAGGGAGTGATAGATGGGGCTTGGCAGCCCAGCACAATAAAACCCAAAGAAAGGCCACTGGAATTAGCCACATAGGGTTACTGGTTCAATGAGGTCCAAGTGGAAGGGACAAGAGTCTCACTGGAAAAGGTGGATGAAAAGAAGTGTACCAAGGGTGTGTGGTCTTTGACTGGGAGAAGAGGGCCAGAAGCCAGGGGTAAGGGATGGCCTGTTTTACGGAAGGACCGTCAGAGCTCATCAGCAGGGTAGAGGGTGCTGTTGGTGATGGGAACAAGAGGAGGCCAAAGGAGAAAAAGCACCAGCCTGACTGGATAGACAGGACAGCCTTTGCGTCTCCACTAGACTGGATACACAGGACAGCCTTTGCGTCTCCACCAGCACAGGCAGGAAGCAGGACTCACCACCAGTGTCTTCCTGTCCCGTCCCTCTTGCTCATAATGCTCAGAGAGATGACTGGCCACAGCAGGAAGAGACCTGCAACCTGCAATCCCCCAGTCCCTGCAGGACTGAGATCTCCCAGAGGTTTCACAATGCTCTCTTCCTCCTTTTCAGGGTCTTCTTCAAGATCAAAAGCCGGAACGCACACATGAAAACTCACCGGCAGCAAGAGGAGCAGCAGAGGCAGAAGGCTCAGAAGGCAGCTTTCGCAGCAGAGATGGCAGCCACCATTGACAGGACTACTGGGCCGGTGGGGGCACCTGAGCTGCTGCCCCTGGACCAGCTGGGTCTGATGAAGCCGGTCAAGGATGTGGACATCCTGGACGACGATGTGGCCCAGCAGTTAGGGGTCATGGATGAGGCCGAGGTGGTGGGCACGGACCTTCTCCTGGATGACCAAGATTCGGTTTTGCTTCAGGGTGATACAGAACTCTAAGCCCCGTTCATCACCTAGAGACACAGAAGCCACGGCCTCCACCTTCGTTGGTCAGGAAAACCTGGACTTCCTGCTCCTTTGAAACCCTTTTAAACTACCTGTTTAAAAAGTGGTCCTTTTCTTCAGGTTAAGGGACGGGAAAAAATCCAGTTCTTTTCTCTTTTACCTTCTTTTAAATTGTTTTTGTTGGGGGTTGGGGGGAATAAAAAATTGGCACAACTATCTTTAAGAGGTGTCTCATCTGGGCTGTGTTCTCGAGAGGCCGTTTCCCGCGGGGATGAGCCCCACATTCCTGTTGCTTTGCTTTCAGATGCCAGCCACCTTGGTTGCCTTTTATCTCTAAACTTGCTGCGAGTGTGTACGTGTGAATGTGTGTGCGTGCATGAGTGGTGTGTGTGTGCGTGCATGAGTGGTGTGTGTGTGCGTGCATGAGTGGTGTGTGTGTGCATGAGTGGTGTGTGTGTGCGTGCATGAGTGGTGTGTGTGTGTGTGAATGTGTGTGCGTGCATGAGTGGTGTGTGTGTGCGTGCATGAGTGGTGTGTGTGTGCATGAGTGGTGTGTGTGTGCGTGCATGAGTGGTGTGTGTGTGCATGAGTGGTGTGTGTGTGCGTGCATGAGTGGTGTGTGTGTGCATGAGTGGTGTGTGTGTGTGTGAATGTGTGTGCGTGCATGAGTGGTGTGTGTGTGCATGAGTGTGTGTGCGTGCATGAGTGGTGTGTGTGTGCATGAGTGGTGTGTGTGTGTGTGTGTGTGTGTGTGTGTGTGTGTGTGTGTGTGTGTGTGTAGAAAGCAGATTAGCCCATTCATGCTGGGACTCTAGGCCATGTTTTCCTGTCAAGGATTATTTTTATTCTGCTCTGACCTGTAAGGGAGTGTCCTTTCTCTCGGGTCAGAAGAGCCTATTTCTTTCTCCCTTTCTTTTTCAACATGGTTTATGGCCAGTGCAGCTCTAAACTTACTTCGCACCACTTGAACATACTGTGAAAACTTTTCACCCCATTCGTTCTGCATCGTGTGTGCTGGACTGAGGTTTGCCTAGACATTAGCTGCGAGAGACAGAGTTTTCTAACACATAGAAATAGCAGATGCATTGGAAACTGCTTTGAAAGCCAACAAAAATGGGCTCAGATTTAATGCTTGCATTCAAATGCTGAATGTATTCGCTACAAGTCACTTACCAAAGCAATTGTGGACTTCTCTAAGCTACATGACTTTGCTTTGCCCCTGACAGCAGGGGGCGCCATTTGTACTTGAAGGCAATAAACCCGTAATCCTTCAAAAAACGTCATTGCCCAGGTCTCTGGGCTCAGTTGAAGTGACCCCTCCCACTGTCAGTGCACCAGACTGGAACCCTGCCCCTGGGACAAAGGAGCGTCTGTCAGCCCCCTTCTGTGTTCATGCCTGTGGCCTGCAGGCCAGGTGTCTTCAGGTCTTATGCTCCTTGAGTAGACGAGCTCTCCAGTTCTGTGTAAGTGTAGCTGTCAAGCTGGGTCATTATGCTGGCCCCTCATCAGCTTGGCATTAGAGAGCATCCTAGTGGGGCTGGACATCCTTCACATTGGATTCTACAAAGCCATTTGGCACATACTCAGGGGCCAGGGCACCAGGCACCATGGCCCACCACAGCCCCCACTCAGGCAGTGGCTTCTAAGTCTCAGGAAAGCCACAAACAAGACTATTTTCAAAGATTCTTTTCCTTTCCATCCTTGTTTTTAGAACTATATTGAAGTCCTTTCTCGGTGCGGGGGACGGGGTGTTTCTTTGCTATCGTTTCAAAGGGTTACTGTAGCCTGTGTATGATTTCAGCAGTGTTGGGTTAAAACCTGCCTGGGCATCGTGCATGAGCTAGCTTCCTTTCAGCCCTGTCTAGCTGCCACTCAGGGCAGACCACAAGGCCTGCCTGTACGTCTAGAAAAGCAGCCATGCTAAAGAGCAAATGTCCAGAGAACCTTAGCAAGTCCATGCTCTTCTGCTTGGGAATTTGCCCAGTTTGAAACCTTAGAAATAAACTGCCCTGCCACCACCAATATCCAATGCACAATGTTATTTTGATTTTTTCATGCAGTATAGCAAAAGGAATATTTTGACTTGAAACAACCAAAGAGCTCCTCCTCAATAAGACAGTTCACATACATGAGTTAGTATTTCCTGACGCTCAACTTAAAAAAATTGACTTCTTATTAAAATATTGCACTTTTTCTGGAAATGATTCTGCCTGCATGTGCTGTTGTGATTTAGCTTTCTCCACAACCCCGCAGCCCCAAAGAACTTTCCTTCCTATGGTTAATGTCTCCACACGGCTCCTAGTTGACGCGATGGTTTTTCAGTAATGAATTTAGACTCCTTTGAGAAAGCTTGTATATAAAAAGTTAACAGATATATTTTATGGAAAAACCCATCTTATTTTCAAATATATTTAACTGCTGTTATATTTTATTAGAGGAAGGTTGTAAATATTTTCTAGGAGTTCTATTGTAAAGAAAAGTATTTTTGAAACAAATTAATGTAATAAAAAGGAAAACATTTTTAAATCGTGGCTGTGACTGCTTCCTCCTCTGCTTTCGACCCACCGTGTTCTCTGCCAGTGACTTGCATGCCTTCATATCAGGATGTAATTCAGGTTTGCACTGTGCTAAGTTGACGTCATAGTTTCCAATGTGCTTAACTGTGTGTTTCCGGAATGCAGCTCCCTCAGTCCACAGCAAAGTGCTGTGTGTAGTCTGCTCATGGTTTTTCTTTTGTAATGTGTGTATTTTTAATAAGGATTTTATGTAAAATTTGGTAAAAACAAAAAACCAAGAGGACAGTATTTTCTATGAATTTTATAATAACATTTTGCTAAAAATGTTTCTTCCTAGGTCAGTTTTTGTTAAGGTAAACCAAAAGTCTTATTTTCCAGGGTTTAACAAATAAAGTTTGAAGCTGGAAAGCAAAGTTCTATTTAAACATCATATGTGGCAAATGAATAAAGATGTTTTACAGACCTGTCCTTAAAAGGTGCATTCCTTAAATTAAAATAATGATTTTGGGGATCTCAAGTGTCCTGGATGGTAACCTTGTGTTGGGGCAGTCCTGCACTGTCTCCTGTCTCCGATGGTAAACCTTGTGCTGTTTTTGTTTTGATTTTTTTCTTTTTGTAATGATCACAATGCATCTGCAGAATCGGACCAGGAGACTATTGACAGAGTTCCAGAAACCTGACTGTCCCCACAGATGACCATTTATCCGGTAGCAGAATAGCCAAACAACCAAATACACAATCAGATTTGTTTGTGGAATATGATACAGTGTTGCCCTGAAATAAACTTACCTTTTGAGTCTCACTGCTCACTCATTCCTTCTTTCGGCCACACTGGATGCAGGGTCAATGCTGGCTCTGTATCTCGCCTGTCCAGTGACTTCTGTAGACAGTGGGTTTATATCTGCTGGACAGATACTATTCTCAGTAAGTGTTCCTGCCTAGGGAAACAAGGACTTACCTTGGCTCTAGTAGAAGAGCCACTTGAAGACAGAGCATTCTCCGAACTGTGCCACCCAAGAAGTATTTGGTCCCAGCACTTGGGAAGCAGGGGCAGGCAGATCTCTTGAGAGTCTGAGGCCAGTCTGGTCTATATACTGAGTTCCAGGCCAGCCAGGGCTACACAGTGAGATAGATCCTCTACCCCCTCCTATCCACTCCTCCCACACACCAAGCAAGAAAGGAAATCTTGCTGTAAGTCCTCAACAACAGCTGTGTCCGCCTGATTTATTTGCATTTTAATATGAATTTCCAAACTGATATGCATTTACTTTTCAGTAGTCAGCAGCAAGCTTGAGAAGACATTTGGAATTCTGTGTTTTACACAGTTTTCCCTCAATCAGCACCTTGATCTTCTAAGGCGCTTTTTTAACTTTAATTTAATCATTCTTTTAGATGGTCCTGTATAATAAAACAGCTGATCTAGCTGCAGTGCGCATGCAGCCAGGGTTGTGAGTGGAATCGGCTTCTAGGGGCGGGGCTCCAATCTCACTACTGCACTCTCTCGGTGGGTCTACATCAGCCGGTCAGTCCTCGTGAGTCACTCTGTACTAGACACTGTGTATGTAATGTATGGATGCTAAGACTGTGCCATCCCTGCACTCAGAACTGAACACCAAACAAAAGCAGACGCGGCTGGTCCACTGAGCCACCGGAAGAACGGAGTTTAGACTTTGTAACAGGAACTGCTCCACACACACACACACACACACACACACACACACACACACACACACACACACACGCATGCACGCACACAGAACCAACTTCTGAGTTACATGCTGACCTCCAAGATATGACACTCAAGACACACACACACAGAGAACCAACTTCTGAGTTATATGCTGACCTCCAGGACAAGACACACACACACACACACAGACACACACACACACATATAACCAACTTCCGAGTTATACACTGACCTCCAAGACATGACACTCAAGACACAGAGAGAGAGAGAGAGAGAGAGAGAGAGAGAGAGAGAGAGAACCAACTTCCGAGTTATACACCGACTTCCAAGACATGACACTTAAGACACACACACACACACACACACACACACGCACAGAGAGAGAGAGAGAGAGAGAGAGAGAGAGAGAGAGAGAGAGAGAGAGAGAGAGAGAGAGAGAGAACCAACTTCTGAGTTATATGCTGACCTCCAGGACAAGACACACACACACACACAGAATCAACTTCTGAGAGTTACACGCTGACCTTCAAGACATGACACTCAGGGGACACACACACACAGTGCATGCATACATACATACATGCATGCATAAAGGGAAAGAATGAATCTGTTGAAGAGGGGTTGCATTAAAAACGGAACAACTGCTACAGTCAAAATAGGACTTAACCTAGAATTGCTTGCACCTCTCTTCTGGGCCCAAAGCAAGGTGCCCCTGCAGGAACGCTCTAGATCTGCTCCTCTCAGCTGGGCCAGATGATTAAAAGTTCCAGCTGTAGGAAACGTAACTGCAATGACTGCCCAGCTTCAGAACACTGCCGGTGCCCACACAGCATGTTCTAAGGACCCTGGACAAACCCGGAGTTTCCAGACCCACCTGCTGCCTGTGGCCTAAAGAATCCATGAGCAGAGAGAGACAAGTATTGCATCTTTCAAACTGCACTTCATTCAAGGAGCTGTCACGTGGAAGAGACTGGACGAACAGCCTAAAAACTGACCTAAGTCTCATCTCTTTGGGGGGACAAAGGCAGTCTGTCATTCAGAGGTCAGTCTCTCCCCTCCGGGCAGCCAGGTCTCTGAGATTTGAGGTGTCTATGCCTCTCATTATTATCTCCTTCATTCCATGGATCTTTGGCCCCAAACACTGCTTCAAACCCTGAATGTAGACACCACCAAGATATGACTCAACAGGTAAAGGTTCTTGCTGCCAAGCCTGGAGCCCTGAGTTCAATTCCCCAGGACCCACATGGTGGAAGGAGAGAACCACTTGCCAAAAGTGTTCTGTCCTGTGACTTACACACACACACACACACACACACACACACACACACACACACACACACACGATTAATAAACAAAATATGTTGTGGAAATACCATGAATCTAGTTAGTGTCTGTCAGTATCAAACCTCTTCCAGGGACATGTGGGCTTGGAGGAAGAGTAAACGCAGAAAAAGCAAACCATTATCAGTATGTATTGCTAAGTTAATAAACTCCTTTTTGCAACATGCAATACAAGTGTGTGTTTCATACAGAATGTGAAAGTAGCTGACCCTATCATGCCAGCTCTACTGATGGCAAAACCTGGCTTTTTCCTTTACAGCATGTCACGGATAGTTTTGTGTCAACTTGACCAAGCTAAAGTCATCTTAGAGGAGGGAACCTCAATTAAGAAAATGTCTCTCTAAGATTGGGCTGTAGGCAAGTCTATAGGGCATTTTCTTAATTAGTGATTGATGTGGGAGGACCCAGCACACTGTGGGTGGGGCTACCCTTGGGCTGGTGGTCCTGGGTTCTGTAAGAAAGCAGGCTGTGCAAGCCATGAGGAGCTAGCCTGTAAGGAGCACCCTCCATGGCCTCTGCATCAGCGCCTGCTCCAGGTCCCTGGCCTGGCTTCCTTTAACGATGAACTGTGATATGGAAGTGTAAGCCAAATAAACCCTTTTGTCTTCATGTTTGCTTTGGTCATGGTGTTTGGTCGCAGCAATAGAAACCCTAATTTAGACAGGGTGACTCCCACCTTGTCCCGGTAAACTGCACAAGGTCCCACTTGCCCCTGAGGCCTTACGCTGAAATACAGTTTTATGACTTATGACTTCCGTGAGGAAAATGAGGGGATCTCAGTAAACCCCCACACCTGGGCACAGATGTGGAGAAATCTGATGAACCAAAGGCAGCTGCAGTGACCACATGCTGAGGCCTGAGCAAGCTGAATCTCTGCTGAGAGAGGCCATCAAGAGAGAGGCCAAGGCCTCTGAGGAGTGGGGGACAGCCAGGCCTAAGGTCCTTAGAACACACCTCTCTGGTTCCAATTAGCAGATCATGTCACCAAGTCAATGAAGACTGCTGCTTTTTCCTTGTGCTGTGGGTGTAGGGAAGGGTGGGTGCCTTCAGTCCTCCAAAAGAGACAGAACCAGCCCACAGCACAGGGCAGGGCAGGCCTTGAACTAAGATTATGAAGATGACTGCATGTTCAGTTGTAACTCACCATTTGAACTTGGCCAAGTCAACTCATCTCTGAGCCTCAGTTTCCCCACCTAGAAATCAAGATACAATTATTTTCATGAGGATGAGAGTAGGTAAGCTAAGTAAAAGCCATTTTCAAGCTGTTCTCTCACCATCATTATCGGTGCGGCACACTCACCTACCTGAGACCATCCGGAAGGGCAGGCGGCTGACTGAAGAGCCACCCTGGAGGGTACCTCACGGAGAGAAGTAGCAGGGAGATGACGGTCGGGGTACGGTCAGAACAGACCGTTGACTGGGAGGGACCACCCTGAATTAGAGAGCTTAATTCTGAGAAGGTTGCCTCCAGGTTACCTGCCCGGGTAGGGCATTGCCAAATCCAGCCAAATACGACTGAGGACTCTGTTTCCATAGAGAGGCTTAGGCATACCGCCACAGAGGACAGCCCGAGGAGCAGGCAAGTGGTTCATGCTCTCAGATCTTTCGCCAGTTTTCGCCTTCTGGACCAAGTCATTCTAGATCTCGTCTGCCAACTGAGGCGAGCAATGCTTGCTTGTGGGAGACACAACTTTACGTTTGCACGGTGGTTTAGTGAGATTCTATGTAGTCTCCTCATTAAGTTAATCTTCACTCATATCCCCAGCAACCACTGAAGACCCAGGACACAGACCTATGTGACAAATGACGGCATGTATCATGTGGCAGGTATTGCAGTGAACACTATACCAGTATCTTACTTAATCCTTTCTTATAAGAATAATTTATCCTCTCACCTCTACTTGGCAAATGGGAAAACGGGTTCAGAGAAGGGAAGAAATTTGATCAAGTCACCCAGAGCTCCCAGCTGTAGCGCTTTTCAGTATGTTGAATTGCACATAAAGGCATTTCGGGGGGGCTTAGAAATTTGAATTAACAAGCCAACATTCCAATTGGTGTGGAGAAAAGTTTAAGAACAAAATAGCTTTTGTAATAAGACAAAATGTTAGAATTTGGACTCAGTAGCAGCAGTAAATTTCTTTCCAAGCAGCCAGGCATTGGTGGTGCACGCCTTTAATCTCAGCACTGGGGAGGCAGAGGCAGGCAGATCTCTGTTGAGTTCGAGACCAGCCTAGTCTACAGAGCGAGTTCCAGGACAACCTCCAAAACAATACAGAGAAACCCTGTCTCGAAAAACCAAAAAAAAAAAAAAAATCTTTCCAAGCATGTGTTTTCTTGTTTGTCTGTAACCAAACTGAACCACCCAAGACAAACAGGATTTTAGGATTAAACAGCATTTAGATAAAACTTGGTAACTAGGTAGGGGCTGAAGCCAGTTTATCCAAACCACAAAAGCAACGCACCCATTCAAAAAGATAAGCGAGTAAATAAATAATAAAGTTGAAATTTAAAAAAAAAATCGAAGACCCACGTTTCTATGGTTGTTTCAGTGCCGGAACACAAGGAGACACTCTCTCTCTCTTTCTCTCGTTATCGAACTCTATGGTCGGAGGACAACGTTGTGACCCCGGAAGCGATCGTGGGGTCAGGGCGTCAAGATGGCGGCGCGCGCGGCGTGTGCGGCTGTGTGCCGGCGCCTGGGGCAGGTAAAGGGGTGCGCGCGGGGCCCCGCGGGCGGAAGGCGCAGCCGCCGGCTCTCGCTGCCCCCCGCTGCCCGGCGGGCTCCGAGTCCTCCCCGGAGACGGGAGCAGCGGGTTCGGAAGCCTCGAGGCCGCGGGGCTCGGGGAGACGGGGCGCTGACTGAGAGGCTCCGCCCGCCGCTCTCGGGGGCCGGGCGGCGCGGCCGGGGCGCCCTCGCGGGGTTCTTCGAAGAAGGGAGCCCTGCCCGGCGTCCGCAGCCCCGGGGAGGCCGAGGGGGGCGGGTTCTGAGCTCCAGGGCAGCCGGGCGCCGTGGATCATTCAAACAAACCCTGGGAGTAGGCGGTTCTCGGCATCGCCACCCCCGTGCGCCCCGTCAGTGGCCGTTCAGCTGAGGACTGGACGGGACGGCTCGCTGTGAAACCGGCTCTTAGAGAGCAGGAGGAAGAGTGCCACCAGCCTGGCCTGCGTGCCCAGACCCTGTCTCCAGAAGTAAACATCGCCGCACGCGGGAGGCAGAGCAGGCGGGTCTCTTGTGAGTTTGAGGCCAGCCTGGTCTACAGAGCGAGTTCCGGGACAGCCAGGGCTACACAGAGAAACCCTGTTTCAAACACATACATACATAATAATACATACACAGGAAAACCCTGTTTCGAACACACACAAATAAATAAATAAAAGAATCGAATGAAAAGAGGAGGTGCCGAGAATGTAGCTCAGTTGCCAGAGGCTTGACTGGCCTGCCTAAAGTTGGTTGCACGGCACCCCATCACCAGAAGTGTGGCTCGCACCTTGTTTACCAACCAGCGCTTGAGGGGTAGAGACCAGACGCTCACCCGCTCGGAATCATTCTCAGCTGCGCATAGAGTTAAGATTCAGTCTGGCTCCATGAGCTTGTCTCAAAGGAAAAAAAAATTCATGCTAGAGATTGAACCCACGGCCTTGCCCGCACCAGACAAAGGTTCTGCCGCGGAACCGCTCTTAGCCCTCGGTGGAATTGTCCTCAGCAAGAATTACTGAGCCATCACTCCAGCCTTAGTAGTTAACACTTTAGAGAAACTGTGTGCCAAAGCAAAGGCAAATCTAACGAAGAGTAATGTTTTGGTGTCTGGCCTTTAGAAGCAGCAGCTCTATTCTCGGGTCTGTTTCTGCATTCCGTATTTAGTACGTAGTACAAACTCACGCAGCTTTGGAAACAGCACTGCGCACCACTGAGAGAAGGGAAGTAGAAAAGTCTTAGTGTTACCGTGCAGAGCTTTGCTTTCAGGGCTCCTGGAAGTCTCAGTGAGTCATGAGAGGTCCAGTGGCTGTGAGCACTTGCTGCAGAGCCGTGAGCATGGGGGTTCAGCCTAAGGAGCAGGAAGTTCGTGCTCACCTGTGACCCCTGCTGCCAGCAGTCACAGGAGGGCCCCTGGAGCTTTCTGGCCCCCAAACTAGTTTGGGGATGGGAGACACCCAAGCCCTCAGAGATTAGAGCTAGGTCAGTGCTCACAGCCCTCACTTGGAGGTGGAGGCAGACACGCCGGGAGCTCAAGGCCATTCTCTGTCCAGTTGGAGGCTAGGTTGTGCTGAGTGCACCCCGTCTCAGACAAGTGTTTTAGAGGAAGACTGTGGCTGGGAAGCGTCCCGAGCCTTGGGTTTGGGTCACCAGCATAGGGCTACTATGTGAGTATAGTGAGGAATGAGGCGTGCCCTGCTTGTGAGGCAAGTGAAAGCTGCCGTCTCACTGCAGGAGTAAAGAAAGACCAAGGGACCGGAAGCATGGGCTGGCTTGGGCATTCCTTTGCTTGTTTGGAGACAGGGTTTCTCTACATAGTCCTGGCTGTCCTGGAGCTTGTTGTGTAGACCAGGCTAGCCCAAACTCACAAGTCCTCCTCCTGCCTCCCAAGTGCTGGGTGGGAATAATGGCGGTCATGCACCACTATGCCAAGTGCAGGCTGTTTTAAGTGCACCGTTAGTTGTTTAATTAAGCTTTTCTTGTACTTCCCAGTCATTTCCATCTTTGTTGTATTTTTAAAGATTTTATTTTACTGCTTTCTAGGGTTCAATCTCAGGCAGGTTTAAAGGGTTACTTGGTGGGTAAGAAACCACACAGTCTGTTTGGTGCTGTTTGCCTCCTAAAACAGTTCCACCAGGGGGCGCTCACTAAAAGGGGTTGGGCAGTGCTGAGTTAGGGCTGCTTGCCCAGCAGTAGTGATGGGTATGGGCATGATGTGTGCTGTATTTCTTTAAAGGCAAGGTGCTTTAGCCAAGCAAAGCGTATGCCAGCTGTTAACAGAGTCAATTATACAGACGTGTAGCTCTAAAGGACTTTTGCTCTGTTTGGTCTGTGTCCTTGAACTCATAGATCTCGGCGCTCCATCTCCCAGCTGCTCTCATGAAAGGCACACAGCACCATGCCTAGCCAAGTTGTTGGTTTTTGTTAGGTTGGAGTTTTAGTTCATTTGTCTGTGTGTGTACCTGTGTGGGTTTTCTGTGTACCACGTGATTGTGGTGCCCATGGGGGCAGAGGGCACCCATGCCCTGGCAGTAGCGTTACTAGGTCCTAAGAACAGTAAGCACTTTGTCGTTGATGAAGTCTAGTCTGGTCGTTTTCGTGCCCACGGTCCTCCTCTGAGAAATGGAGACCTTGGCTGAGCGCAGGCACCTGTGACTTCTGGTGGAAACCACCAGTGCTCTGGGAGCTGACTCCATCTCTGACACCTGCCCCTCCGTTCTTTTTAGGAGTTGGGGAGTTTGTCTGTAAATGGTTCTAAGAGCAGTACAGCCCAAGCTGGTGGCCTCCTGCTGTAAGTATGCGACTAGATGTGCTTTAATTGTGCTAGAAAATGTGGCTCCATGCTGACTGAGGTCTCTCTTCCCCACACAGCAGCTCCAGTGTGAAGCGGGCTCCGTCGTCAAGCCTGCACATCGATGTTCCAAAGGATCTGATCAAACCCACGGTAGGTACCCCGTTAGGCAGGATGTGGCAGTGTAGGCCCGAGGTAAGATATCTCAATCACATAGCAAGGGCTGCCTGGGCTACATGCAACCCCATCTCAAAAAGCAGCAGCAGCAGGAGTTACGTTAGCAGTTGCGTTTCTTTTTCCATTCTATTTCATTCCACCTACTTCCCAAACACCTGCGTGTGTTTATACTAGAATACGGGCAAGTGTACACTGCAGGCCGTCTGATGTCCCTGGGAAGAGCACCTGTGCTGTTTTTCATGCTATCGAAGTAAGTCCTAAAGGAATATATTATTTATTCCAAGTAACTGGTAATGAGCACTGTCCTGCTCTTTTAGTTTACATAATTCAAGAGTTCCTTAATTAGCGATGACCCTGAGTTCCTTAATTAGTGATGACCCTGATTGCATAAAAATCATCTTTCCATGGCCTTGGAGTCTTTTCTTTTGAATGCTGAGCCTGGGCGTGTGCAGTGCTCGGTTCACACTGATGCAGATCTGCAGGAATACACCAGTAGCTAGCTGTGTGACCTTATGGAGTTTAAGACAAGATGCTGTCTAGCCCAGGCTAGCCTTGAGCTAGCCTTGTAGCCAAGGATGACCTTGAACTCCTAATCCTCCTACCTTGTATTAAGTGAGAAGGTTACAGGTGTGTCACCACTCCAAACTCTTACTTGGGAATTTTTTCTTTTTTTCAGCTTTTGTTGTTTTTTCGAGGCAGGGTTTCTCTGTGTAGCCCTGGTTGTCCTGGAACTCACTGTAGACCAGGCTGGCCTCAAACTCAGAGAACCACCTGCCTCTGTCTCCTGAGTGCTAGGATTAAAGGAGTGCATTACCACAGCACATCAGAATTTTTTTCTAGAGTTCTAAAAATTCCAAATCCTCCCATTTCCACCTTCAAAAAAAAATCTGCGCGTGCGTGCGTGCGTGCGTGCGTGCGTGCGTGCGTGCGTGCGTGTGTGTGTGTGTTTGTCCTGGCCACTAAGAAATCAGACCTTGTAATGTTAGATGTCTAACCATTCCAAGCTAAATTGATAATGATTTAACAAAACATTTCCAGAAATCTTTTGAGATTTGTTGCAAATTCACAATAACTTTAAAAGCCAATAGAGGAGCTTGAGGCTAGCTCAGTAGTAGAGTTCTTGCCTGGCACTCTCTAATACCACAAAAATTACAATAAGTAAATAGAATAAGCTCTATAGGAGTCCAACCACACATCTTAGGACTATAGGCCCTCTCTACATACCCAATTGTGATTAAAGGTCAGAGGTCAGTTAATTCTGTTTTCCCAGCCATCTTACTTGAGTAATTGAGCAGATGTCTCCCTTCCTGTTTGTTACATAGCTCTCTTTACAGGGTGAGGTCTTTAACCCTGACTCACTGGGTTAGTAATAGCATTTACCAGTTAATGGGTGAAGGAAATGAAGATAATTCACCTCCTAGAAGAAGCCAGAAATGTCAAGCCCATTATTCTAAGGTCTTTAGGTATTAGTGTAGAAGGTCCAGCCAGTGTCATAACATTTTAATTAGACATGAGTAATTTCTGTATGAAGACAGGCCAACCATACATGAATAAATCTAATAAAAAGGATGAATAGAGCTAGCTGGGCTTTGTATAACAATTACAATGTTTAACAGTTGTATAGCAGTGTTTAGCGATTTATAAGCACTTTAATTTGTGTCTTCGTAGCTTTTCCTTGCAAAAATGCCATGAGCTTTAGCACAAGTGTCATTACCCAGCCTTAAACATGAGTACAGGGAGAGCCAGGAAGTCATACAGTTCTCTCATCACCCAGCCACAGTAGGTAGCTCTTCAGTGCAGGCCTTCTCACTAGCTCGCTTGTCAGTAGACCCTGACCCTGTCTCAGCAGATTCTGGGGCTCGGAAGTAAGTAATTTGGAACATTCGCAGTGATTTTGTAGTGACATTGAAGGTTGTCTGATCCTCAGTGGGTTTTGACAGGTTTGGAAGGTCATTTTTGCAGATGTGTGTGATACTGGAAATAGTTAAGCTAGTAGTTTTAAACATTGCTTGCCATTTTCACATTTATTAGTAAACTGAAGTCATTCAGCCAATAATACATTAAATTTGCTGGTTATAGGTATGACAAACACCAAAATCAAAACTCTTATTTATTTCAGATAACAACTTCCGATGAACCGGACACATTGTATAAACGCCTGTCCATTTTAGTGAAAGCCCATGACAAGGCTGTATTAGACAGTTATGAGTATTTTGCCGTGCTTGCTGCTAAAGAACTTGGCATTTCTATTGATGTGTGAGTATGACCTTTCTTAACCTGACTTGTTGTCTGTCACCATGTGAGCCGGGAACCTGACTGGTCTGAGCTTGTAAAATAGGATAAGTTGAAGCTTGTCCTGTGTTATCCTGAGCAGTGGTGTCTCTTCGTGTCTGCTAGAATTGCTAAGTACTAGATGCATAAACAAGGAAAACGAAAGAAACCATTTCTGGAGATTGCACTGACATAAGTAAACCCAGGAAGCCTTCTGTCTGGGATCTGCATGAGGGGAGGCTCTGTGGCACTGCTCCGTTCAGACCCTTTGCCTTGATGGTTCATTGTGACACTCCACTATGAGCAGCCACCTGAGCGCCACCACCTCCCTGGGAGCTTTGAGTAAGGTGAACTCTAGGCCTTGAAGCCACTGCAGGGCGAATCAGAACTGCCTTTTGGTGCCTCCTCCTTCTGGTGTTGAACGGGCTCCTTGGAGGCATTGCAAAAACAGAAGACTAAATTGTTTCCCGAAACAATAAATAAATTATCCTGGCACAGCAGACATTGCAATTATGTCCAGCGCCATTGCCACTCTTCATAGCTGGCATGCTTGGAGCATGAGGGAGGGAGTTAGGAGGTGTGCCCGCTCTTGGTTTGCACTGCTTGGCTGGGTGTGGGCAGGGTTCCTCTTGCTATCTGCAGTATTTCTTTTTTTTTTTTTTTAAATTATTTATTTATTATGCGTCCAGTTTTTTATCTGTGTACATGCATGTACCCCAGGAGAAGGCATCAGACCTCATTATAGATGGTTGTGAGCCACCATGTGGTTGCTGGGAGTTGAACTCAGGACCTCTGGAAGAACATGCAGTGCTCTTAACCTCTGGGCCATCTCTCCAGCCCGCAGTATTTCTTTTGGCCTGAGGTTTGTGAAAGTAGCTGTTACAGGGGAGGCTTGACAAATGGAAGTCAGTGCGTGGCAGTGAGTCCTGTGAGGGAGCGAGTCTGACTGCACAGCTGTGGAGTGGCGCTTTGATAGCGTGACTCACGTGTGACACCACCGAGCGTAAGTGTTGTGTCCCTTGTTTCAGACATGAGCCGCCCAGGAAGATGGAGCGGCTCACTCTTCTCAAGTCGGTGCACATTTTCAAGAAGCACAGGGTTCAGTATGAGATGAGGACACTCTACAGGCGCTTCGAGGTGGGTCCCTCCCTGCGGCCCACCGTGCGTCTGCAGCACCCAGGGCTTTCTGCTAGCGTGTAGCATGGCTCCACTCGGGTCTGGAAGGTGGTTCTTGTTCTCACGTACACTGTCCAGTAAGAAAGGCAGGTAGATATCTGAGCTTGAGGCCCGCCTGATCTATGAGTTCCAGGACAGCCAGGGCTACACAGAGAAGCCCTGTCTTGAAAACAAAACAACAAACAAAAACATTTATTTATTTGTGGGGATGGGGCACATGCCACAAGCCATGTGTGGAGGTCAGAGGACATTTGTGGTGGCCAGCTCTCTCCTTTGACCATGGGAGTGTCGGGTTGTTCTCAGGTTGTCGGGCTTAGAGGGCAGGGCCTTTTCCCACTAAGCCATCTCACTGGCTTATTGATGTTCTGTGTAGGACTGCCTGCCTGCCTGCATGTGTGCCTACCGCCAGCAGAGCTCAGAGAGAGAGAGATGGATCCCCTGGAGCTGGAGTTACAGATGGTTGTGAGGTGTTATGTGGGTGCTGGGAACTGAACCTGAGTCCTCTTCAAGATCAGCCAGGGCTCATAACTACTACTCCCTCCAGCACTCCTGTATATTTAAAATGAGATTCTGTGTAAGGTCTCGCAGAACAGGCTCCATCTCTGAGGGAACATGGTAGGAGTGACAGAGAGACAAAGAACCTCAAAGACCTGTGATCTGACATTGTGTCAGGGCATTGTCATTTTTCTCTTTTAGTTAAAGCACTTGACCGGATGCACAGCCAATGTCTACTTGGAATATATCCAGAGAAACTTACCCGAAGGGGTTGCCATGGAAGTAACAAAGGTATGGCTTAAGTCCTGCCTCAAGAGGGCTGGCTGGGTTGTCTTGCTGTATAGCCTTGTCCCAGCTGTGGGGCTGAGGGCCTGTGGCACACGGGAAACAGAGCTAGGCCCGCCCCACCACTACCTAAGTCCTCCCTGAGCCACCTTGGAAGTCTCCCTAATAGTTGTTTAGACTTGGGGACCACAGGACGGCCCCCCTCGGAGGTCACTGGGATCAGACAGTTACCCACCATGCTTTATGCTCCCTTCTCTCCGTGAAAGCCCTCGAAGGCAGTGGGTTAACGAGAAGCAGGAGGATGCGACGGGTCAGTAGATCTGGGTTGTAGGCAGAGTTCATTTCAAAGTCCACACTGTGTTCCAGTTTGGTTTGGTTTTGGTTTTAGACACAGATACAGCAGTTGCCAGAACACATCAAGGAGCCCATGTGGGAAGCGCTCACCAAGGAAGAAGACAGCAAGTCGTAGCCCTGGGTGCCACCTGTGCTGGCGTCTGAACTAGCAGGCCTGGTGTGAGAGCTCCAGCTGAGGGAGGCCAAGGCTGCCTGACCTGCTCTGTGGAGTCATCACACCCTGAGCAGCACGTGGAGCCTGCGCGGGAGGCTTGGTCTCGGAGGAACCATTGCAGCTGCTCCTTTCTACCTGATACTGCTTGTGTTCTGGTTCGAACACACGTTAACAGACTTCTGTATAACCTGATATAAAAGATCCAGATTGAAATACTGCCGCTGACCTATTAGCTTATGCTAATTTTATTGTTTTATTCATTCATTCATTCATTTTTATTTCTTGAGCTCACAAAGATCCTTCTGCAGCTGCCTCCCAAATGCAGGGATTAAAGTCATGTACCAACACATCTGGCTTGTTTGCCCTAATTTTAAATGCTTATTTGTTCGTTCACTAGAGAGTGAGTGATACAATTTTCACACGCATTTTTATTTGAAATTCCCAAAACAACCTGTGGTTAATTGACTGCTGAGCGGTTAGAAGTGTGACCTTTTCCTCTGCCGCCTAGCGTGTGCTGCCTGGAGGTGGCCGTCAGCAAGTGACCCGATGGCAGCGCTGTCTCAGAAACTGGGCGTGCGTGTGACACCTGTATATCAATATACCCGTGATGGAATAGAGCTGTTAGGTGCACATAGTTTCCTTCAGTTCCTCCAAGACCTCGTTCTTCTTTGTCCCTGCCTTGTTCGAAGATCCCTACTTAGCTGTGAGATTCGACTGTGTTCTGCCCAGAGTGAGGCAAGACTACCCTGGGCTGAAGCTGTTGTGCCTTTCGGTTTTCCGCTTGGTAAGCAGAAAGTGGTTGGCATGGCAGCCGCAGGAGTACGCTTCTTTTAAAGCAGAAGGAGGCCCGTGTCTCGTGGTTTCCTTCACGTCAGGTGTGGGTGCTTGGAATCCACACTGCTCATGTGCTGCCTCATCACTGTCAGTACCGTGGAAAGAATCACAGCCCGTGGTCTGCGCCCTCGCTCAGGTGTCCTTCCCAAGGCAGGCCTGAAGTGTACCCCCCCCCCCCCCCCCCACACACACACCCGGAGTTTCCATTGTTTTCAGGCGAATATCCATAAACCAAGTTACTTAGTTCAGTCATATACATCACATCCTGAGCCGGCAAGATGTGGACTGGGTAAGACTGCTACAAACTCCCAGAACCCACCCAAAAGGACAGAACCGCCCCCAGAAGTCCTCCGGTCTATGCCTATATAGGCCCAAACACACTACATAAAAATGAGACAGGGTTTCTCTGTGGCTTTGGAGGCTGTCTCGGAATTAGCTCTTGTAGACCAGGCTGCATCACCACCCAGGTATAAAAATGAAATTTTAAAATCTTACTTTAAGATAAAGATACAGTTGACAGCAACCCCCCTAGAATCCACATCAAAAAGCCAGGCATGGCGGGGCGGTGGTGACGCACTCCTTTAATCCCAGCACTCAGGAGGCAGAGGCAGGAGGATCTCTGGGAGTTCGAGACCAGCCTGTTCTGCAGAGCGAGTTCTAGGACAGCCTCCAAAACAATACAAGAGAAACCCTGTCTTGAAAAAAAAAAAAAAAGAGAGCGAGAGAAAAGAAAAAGAAGTCAGGCATGGTGTACTCCTGTAACCCCAGCACTGGGGAAATGGACAGGAAGTTCTAGGATTGCTGTCAGCCAGGCTATCTGAATGGCAGATTCCAGGCTCAGTGAGAAAGCCTGGTAGAGGGCCTAGGGAGATGGCTCTGTGGTTAAGTGCTTACCGTGAAAGCAGGAGAGCTCTGTACATAGCAGGTTACATGGCGACCCACCTGTAACCAGATCCCCCAACAAGCTGCCTGGTGAAAAAAGCCACCGAGTCAGAGCTCCAGGCCCAGTGAGGAAGGTCATTGCGATGACTTCCCATGTAAACCTCAGGTCTCCACATACGTGCACACCCTTGTGCAGCCACACTCATACATGTGTGCTCACATACATACAAGAATGTACTCATGAAAACAGAAGAAACATGGAGAGCAACTGAGAAACAGATCCAACTTCCGCCCTGGCCTCCACATGTATGGACATGCATAGGACGAGAGGACAGTCATGTGTGGACACACATAGCACGAGAGGACAGTCATGTGTGGACACGCATAGCACGAGAGGACAGTCGTGTGTGGACACGCATAGCGCGAGAGGACAGTCGTGTGTGGACAGAAAGTCGTGTGTGGACATGCATAGCGCGAGAGGAAAGTCATGTGTGGACACGCATAGCGCGAGAGGAAAGTCATGTGTGGACACGCATAGCGCGAGAGGAAAGTCATGTGTGGACACGCATAGCGCGAGAGGAAAGTCATGTGTGGACATGCATAGCACGAGAGGAAAGTCATGTGTGGACACGCATAGCACGAGAGGAATCCACATGTGTAGCACGAGAGGAATCCACATGCGTAGCACGAGAGGAAGCCACATGTGTGGACACGCATAGTGCGAGAGGAAAGTCATGTGTGGACACGCATAGCACGAGAGGAAAGTCATGTGTGGACACGCATAGCATGAGAGGAAAGTCATGTGTGGACATGCATAGCACGAGAGGAAAGTCGTGTGGACACGCATAGCACCAGAGGAAAGTCATGTGTGGACACGCATAGCACGAGAGGAATCCACATGCGTAGCACGAGAGGAAGCCACATGTGTGGACACGCATAGCATGAGAGGAAAGTCATGTGTGGACATGCATAGCACGAGAGGAAAGTCGTGTGGACACGCATAGCACCAGAGGAAAGTCATGTGTGGACACGCATAGCACGAGAGGAATCCACATGCGTAGCACGAGAGGAAGCCACATGTGTGGACACGCATAGCACCAGAGGAAAGTCATGTGTGGACACGCATAGCACGAGAGGAATCCACATGCGTAGCACGAGAGGAAGCCACATGTGTGGACACGCATAGCATGAGAGGACAGTCATGTGTGGACACGCATAGCATGAGAGGACAGTCATGTGTGGACACGCATAGCACCAGAGGAAAGTCATGTGTGGACACGCATAGCACGAGAGGAAAGTCATGTGTGGACACGCATAGCACGAGAGGAATCCACATGTGTAGCACGAGAGGAATCCACATGCGTAGCACGAGAGGAAGCCACATGTGTGGACACGCATAGTGCGAGAGGAAAGTTATGTGTGGACACGCATAGCACGAGAGGAAAGTCATGTGTGGACACGCATAGCATGAGAGGAAAGTCATGTGTGGACACGCATAGCACGAGAGGACAGTCATGTGTGGACACGCATAGCACGAGAGGAATCCACATGTGTAGACATGCATAGCACGAGAGGACAGTCATGTGTGGACACGCGTAGCACAAGAGGAATCCACATGTGTAGACATGCATAGCACGAGAGGACAGTCATGTGTGGACACGCATAGCACGAGAGGAAGCCACAGTGGGTGCGTGAAGCAGCTGTTTGAGCGACTTTTCAGCTGACCATCCTATTTATTAGTGTTCCTCCACTAAGAGTAGCCGGGTAGAGAAATGTGGACTTTGGAGTCAAACGGACTTAGCATGTAAGAGTTCACACGAACTGCTATAAACCCAGGCAAGGTACTTACCCTCCCCCCACAGCTTAGTTTACTCTCCAGTGGGACCGAGGGAACTACCTACCTGTTAAACTTGGGGCTCTGGTCTAGATAGAGCAGCTTGCTGGGCTCATGATAGGCATTCACTAAGCAGCCTTAGCAGGCAGAGGCGCCACTGGGCCGGCGGTATGATGGTTGTGTGCTGTGTTAAGAGACACCCAGAAAAGGGAGAGACTAGCTGAGAGCCCGGCTGGAGACGGGACACATTGTATGCTTGGTCTCTCCCAGGCGGCTGTCGTAAACAGATACCATCTGATTTTCAATACCAATAAAGCAGATGCTGACACTGACCCCTTCACAGCAGAGACAGCCAGGGCTTGGAGAGCTGCACCTCCCCACTGAGTCACGCCGCTGAAAGATGAACCCGGGGCAAGTAATGCTGAGATTGATTTAAGTTCAGGCGAGAGGCAGTGACAGATGCAGGGGCTATGAGCCAAGTGTGAATCACACATGTGACCCCAGCCCTGAAGAGACTGGGAAAGGGGGACTGCCGTAAGTCTAAGGCAGCCTGAGCTACAGCGAAGTCTATCCAAAAAAGAAAAAAAGAGGCTGTAGCCAACCAAGCATGGTGGTGCACGCCTTTACTCCCAGCACTTGGGAAGCAGAGGCAGGCAGATCTCTGAGTTCCTAGCCTTCCTGGTCTACTTAGTGAGTTCAAAGACAACCAGGGCTACATAGAGAGTCAGTGTCTAAAAAAAAAAGGAGGGAGGAGAGACAGAGACACACACACAGGGAGAGGGAGGGAGGGGAGGCAGGCAGGGAAAGAGAGAGAGGAGGCTGTGGTATGGGCCATCAAGATGTCAGCTGGTAAAGGCACTTGCCACTTCAACCTGACAACTTGAGTTTGCTTCCTGGAAAGGCGACAACTCCAGAAGTTTGTCCCCTGACCTCTGTACATACAGTTACACACACACACACACACACACACACACACACACACACACACAGCTCCAGCTCCAGAGTAAGACCTTGTCTTATAAACACAGTAAGAAAATCCCTACTCTACTGGGCCAGCAAGATGGTTCAGCAGGTGAGGTACTTGCTGCCAAGCATGGTGACCGAGTTTAATCACTAGAACCCCCATGGTGAAAAGAAAAAACTGAACTCCGCAAATGCCCTGTCACCTCCACACAGGTGCAGGACCATGCGGCATGCATGTGTACACACATACTCACATGCAAAACCTAATTCTATTTTTAAAAGGAGGATTTGAAGGACTCGTATGTCTGAGCTAACTTCAGTACATTCAAACCTTATTTCCAGTTCATTTTCTCAGTTCATTTTCCACATCTAAAGGCTGACTGGGGGAGGGGGTCTTAAGGAATAAATAACGTGTACAAAGAGAGGAGATACTTAGCGGTTCTGGGAGCCCACTGCTGGCACAGGCCGAGAGTGAGGGTCAACCCAGTGTTCGGGCTCAGCAAGGCGGGCTCGGTTGTGCGGGAACTGCTAGCAGGGTTTCAGCCGCCCTGGCTGGGTCACTGTCACTCTGGAGTGCACAAGCAGCTGGCCATCCACAGTCCCCAGGGTTCTCTGCAAATACCCTGCTCCATATTTAGTCCTGCCCTCTCCAAATCCTCACGACTGTTACTCCCTTTAAGCTGTCCTTCCCTGCTGTGGACTCCTAATCTCCTTTAAAGTGACATGTTTATACCTCAATAGGTCAGCCGTATTTATAGGGCAGGTCATGGGCAATTGGCCCCCGTGAAAACCCAACTCATTTAAGATCCCTTGGTCAGAGACTACATCAAATTG